CACGTGTGTGTGTGTGTGTAAGTAAACACGTGTGTGTGTGTGAGTAAATACGTGTGTGTGTGAGTAAACATGTGTGTGTGTAAGTAGACACGTGTGTGTGTGAGTAAACACGTGTGTGTGAGTGTGAGTAAACACGTGTGTGTGTGAGTAAACATGTGTGTGTAAGTAAACATGTGTGTGTGTGAGTAAACATGTGTGTGTGAGTAAACACGTGTGTGTGAGTGTGAGTAAACACGTGTGTGTGTTGTGAGTAAACACGTGTGTGTGAGTGTGTGAGTAAACACGTGTGTGTGAGTGCGAGTAAACACGTGTGTGTGTGAGTAATCACGTGTGTGTGTGAGTAAACATGTGTGTGTAAGTAAACATGTGTGTGTGAGTAAACACGTGTGTGTGAGAGTAAACACGTGTGTGTGTGTGAGTAAACACGTGTGTGTGAGTAAACACGTGTGTGTGTGAGTAAACACGTGTGTGTGTGCGTGTGTGTCAACACCTGTGTGAGTAAACACGTGTGTGTGTAAACACGTGTGTGTGTCAACACGTGTGTGTGTCAACACGTGTGTGTGTGAGTAAACACGTGTGTGTGTGTCAACACGTGTGTGTGAGTAAACACGTGTGTGTGTGAGTAAACACGTGTGTGTGAGTAAAGACGTGTGTGTGTGAGTAAACACGTGTGTGTGAGTAATCACGTGTGTGTGTGTGTGTGTGAGTAAACACGTGTGTGTGAGTAAACACGTGTGTGTGAGTGAGTAAACACGTGTGTGTGTGTGAGTAAACACGTGTGTGTGAGTAAACACGTGTGTGTGAGTGTGAGTAAACACGTGTGTGTAAACACGTGTGTGAGTGTGAGTAAACACGTGTGTGTGTGTGTAAGTAAACACGTGTGTGTGAGTGTGAGTAAACACGTGTGTGTGTGTGTGTGAGTAAACACGTGTGTGTGAGTAAACACGTGTGTGTGAGTAAACACGTGTGTGTAAACACGTGTGTGAGTGTGAGTAAACACGTGTGTGAGTGTGAGTAAACACGTGTGTGTGTGTGAGTAAACACGTGTGTGTAAACACGTGTGTGAGTGTGAGTAAACACGTGTGTGTGTGTGTAAGTAAACACGTGTGTGTGTGTGAGTAAATACGTGTGTGTGTGAGTAAACATGTGTGTGTGTAAGTAGACACGTGTGTGTGTGAGTAAACACGTGTGTGTGAGTGTGAGTAAACACGTGTGTGTGAGTAAACATGTGTGTGTAAGTAAACATGTGTGTGTATGAGTAAACATGTGTGTGTGTGAGTAAACACGTGTGTGTGAGTGTGAGTAAACACGTGTGTGTGTTGTGAGTAAACACGTGTGTGTGAGTGTGTGAGTAAACACGTGTGTGTGAGTGCGAGTAAACACGTGTGTGTGTGTGAGTAAACACGTGTGTGTGTGAGTAAACATGTGTATAAGTAAACATGTGTGTGTGTGTGAGTAAACACGTGTGTGTGAGAGTAAACACGTGTGTGTGAGTAAACACGTGTGTGTGAGTAAACACGTGTGTGTGTGCGTGTGTGTCAACACCTGTGTGAGTAAACACGTGTGTGTGTAAACACGTGTGTGTGTCAACACGTGTGTGTGTCAACACGTGTGTGTGTGAGTAAACACGTGTGTGTGTGTCAACACGTGTGTGTGAGTAAACACGTGTGTGTGAGTAAACACGTGTGTGTGTGAGAGTAAACACGTGTGTGTGTCAACACGTGTGTGTGTGTGTCCGTGTATTGTAGCGGTTAGCGCGCTGCGCTACGAACCTTGCGACCCGAGTTCGATTCCCGCTCACGGCCAGCACGAGTCAGATTATATTATCTGAGCCGTTCCTGGGCATCCCCTAAATCGACTCCGCCTTAAATGAGTGCCTGGTGCGGTGTGTGCATACATCAGCACTGGGGAGACAAAGGCGGCCGTGCGTGGCGTTCACCACCAACCAGCCCCCTTCTAGTGCCGCATTGGCCCTTCATAGGTGCTCGCAAACAGCGACCACCTCTATGAAGGCCGACACAACAGTCTGTTAAGCCTCCACGGGGGATCTTTGCGTGAACGCGTGCGTGTGTGCGTGTGCAGGTATCCACGAATGTCTCGCCTTACAAAACACATGCAAATTATTGTCACTGTTAGTGGCATTTAGGAGCGGCTTTCTGTGTCTGGGATGATGTATTTCTCCGCCTCTGTCTCTCGTGGCGATCGGCAACGTTGGGCGAAATGGAACACTCCTCCCCACTCCTAAAGACAAAGATCCCCCGTGTAGCCTTGACAGACTGTTGGGGCAAGTGCTGTCAGCGAGGAGCGCCGATGAAGGACAGCGCGGCAAACACACGAGGGGCTGGGTGGTCAAACACCACGCCTGGCCGCCTTTGTCTCTCCGGAGTGGAGGTGTTGTACGCGCCACTGGTGTTGGCCGTGAACGGGAATCGAACTCGGGTCGTGGTAGCGCAGCGCGCTGACCGCTGCACTGCCACTCCGTAACCCTTCACTCCCATACAACTACACACACACTACACACACACACTACACACACATACACTACACACACACACTACACACATACACACTGCACACACTACACACACACTATACATACACACTACACACACACTCCACACACACTACACACACATTACACACATACACACTACACACACTACACACACTACACATACACTACACATACACTACACACACATTACACACACTACACACACACTACACATACACTACACACACTACACACACACACCACACACATTACACACACACACTACACACAGTACACACACATTGCACACACACACACACTACACACACTACACATACACTACACACTACACACATTACACACACTACGCATACACTACACACACATTACACACACTACACACACACTACACACACACTACACATATTACACACACATTACACACACACACTACCCACACACACACTACATACACACTACACACACACTACATACACTACACACACACTACACACACCCATATCCCTCCACACACACACACTATACACACACACTACACACACATACACTACACACACTACACACACTACACACACACTACACACACACTACACACACACTACACACATTATACACACACTACACACACACTACACACACACACCACACACACACACTACACATTACACACACATTACACACACTACACACACACTACACACCACACACACAACACACACTACACACACGTACACACATTACACACACTACACATACACTACACACACTACACACACACTACACTACACACACATTACGCACACACTACACACACACTACACACACATTACACACACTACACACACACACTACACACACTACACACACATTACACACACTACACACACTACACACACACACTACACACACTACACACACACGTACATACACTACACATACACTACACACACTACACACACACATCACTCCCAACACTACTACACACGTACACTCACTATACACACACACATATCCCTCCACACACACACACTACACACACACATATCCCTCCACACACACTACACACACGCACGCCACCCTTCACACCGATCCCGGCCTACACCACGCACAACGCAGATCCCTTGGGGTGGCGATGTAAAGAGCACAAAGCGTTTTGCGCGCGCCCGAACACACACACGGACACACACACGCACACACACACACACACGGACGCACACACATACGCACACACACACGCACAAAAGACAAAGATCCCCCGTATAGCCTTAACAGACTGTAAGGGGCAAGTGCTGTTAGCGAGCACCTATGAAGGCCGGAACGGTACACAAGGGGGTGGGTGGCCAGGACCACGCCCGACCGCCTTTGTCTCCCTAGTGGCGATGTTTACACATCGCACCAGGTACTGATTTGAGGCTGAGTCGACCTAGGGGAGGTCCAGGACCGGTTCAGATAATCGTCACTGGTGTTGGCCGTGAGCGGGAATCGAACCCGAGTCGCCGGGTTCGTAGCGCAGTGTAGCGCTAACCGCTACACCACCGCTCCCCACAACACGAACACACACACACACGAACACACACACGCGAACACACACACGCACACACACGAACACAGACGAACAAACACACGCGCACACACACACACGGACACACACACGCGCACACACACGAACACACACACACACACGCACACACGCGAACACACACACGCACACACGCGAACACACACACGCGAACACACACACGCGCACACACACGAACACACACACGGACACACACACGCGCGCACACACACACGCGCACACACACCAACACACACACGAACACACACACGATCACACATACACGAACACACACACAAACTCGTGCGCACACACCTACACACGCACACTCCGACACACTCACGCACACTCCGACACACTCACGCACTCACACGCACACATCAACAAATACACCTTAACAGACTGTTGGGGCAAGTGATGTTAGCGAGCACCTATGAAGGCCGGCACGGCACACGCGGGCGTGGCCCCATTTGTCTCCCAAGTGGCGACGTTTACACACCGAACCAGGCATTCATTTGAGGCTGAGTCGACCTAGGCGCGGCCCAGGACCGGTTCATATAATCATCACCGGTGTTGACCGCGAGCGGGAGTGGAACTCTGCTCGCCGAGTTCGTAGCGCAGCGCTTGACCCAACTACCGCTCCCCACGGCACTCGCAAGCCTACACTCACGTCCTAACGCACTCGCTCCCCTTCAGACCGCCACTCAGCCTCTCTCCTCCTCCTCCTCCCACCACCACCGCCGCCACCTCCGTCACCACCGATCCCGTTCTGGGTAAAAGCGCCGCCGCTCTCTGCTCCGCTCATGAGAAATCGCGGCGAACTCAGCCGGACAGAGTCAGCCCTGCTGGACTGAACTTGCGTGGAGTCCTAAGCCAGACGAGAACCGACTTCGAGGGGTGGGGTGTGGGGGCGAGTGAGTGAGGAGAGAGGGGAGCGGGGGGGGGAGGCTGGCGTCCGTGGAGAGAGGCAGAGAGAGAGAGCGCACGCGATGGAAGAGAGCTGCAGGGAGCGGGCGCGAGAGGCTGAGTAGGCGGACGCCCTCCGTGCTGGGCACCTAAGCCAGCTGCATCCGCGACAACCTCTCGACAGTTCGAGATCGTCCCCCCCCCTCCCTCCACCACCACCACCACCCCCTCGTGTCTCCACGTGCCTCCCTGGGTCGCCACGTGTCTCCTCCGCCCTGCGTCTTCTTTCGCGCCACGACGTCCACGCGTCCCCAGCATCGCGGCGTCGGGACTGGAACGGCGACATCGACGGAGCAGCAGAGCTGAGGTCCCGCCGGTGAGACGAGGGGTAGCAGGTACCCCCCCCCCCCCCACTCCACCCCTTTGCATCCAGGGGACTCCCCCCCCATCATAACCACACGCAGCACCTGAATCAGAGGGACCCCCTCGACCAAAACCACCCCCCCCGACCGCCTCTCTCTGTTCAAAAAGAGCTTCATAGCTCATCGGATTTTTTTCCAGGATGACTTCAGATTCCGAATCTCTCTCTCCCTGTCGCCAGCATCGTCCGCGGGCTTGGTAGTGTGAATTGGACGTTGAGTGATTTGCGGGGCACGCACATGGCGCACGGGAAAAGCGAGCAACGGGAAATTGTGTGCGCGCCAACCTCGTGTATAACGCGTGCGTGTGCACGTGTGTGCATGTACGTACGTGCAAGTGTGTGCATGCATGTGTGTATGTGTGCGTAAATCTAGGGGGAGGGGTGGTGGTAGCGGTTAGCGCGCTGTGCTGCGAACCCGGCCACCGGGGTTCGATTCCTGCTCACGGCCAACACCGGTGGCGACGATCTGAGCCTCAGATGAGTACCTGTTGCGGTGTGTAAACATCGCCACGAGCGATACAAAGGCGGCCGGGTGTGGTGCCGGCCACCCATCGTTTCGTGTGCCGTGCCGGCCCTCATAGGTGCTGCTCGCTGACAGCAAGCAGGCCATACACAGGGGGTCGGTCATCTTTGTGTTTGTGCAAAATCTGTACGTTTCAGTAGATCGGTAGGCATTACACATGCATTAGTAAGTCGTGTATGCAGAGATCGATATCAGCCGGAGCTCTCCAGGGCAGAGCTCCGGAACATACTCCCCTGTCCCCCTGTTGGAAGGGATGGAGGGGGGGGGCTGGAGGAGAGGGGGACGGGGGGGAGGTGAGTGGCCCTCGAAAATCTTCCAATGATTATAATATCCCTGCGTGGATATACGACACTGGACTGTCTTTGCCTGTTGGGTGCAATGTTGAGTCGATATCGACGTTTTGTTTCACGTTTAGTGCGCGTTTTAAATTAGTGAGCTCACGTGACCACTTGCAGCCGCTAGAGGCCTCAACGTCCACACGCGCATGCAACGCCTGCACGCCCTTAATTTATGTTTGTGTGTCGTGTTCAAATCCGTCGATACAATATTTACGTCTGCCGGCTATGTTGTGTGCGCGTGTGTGTGTTTGTGTACATTATGCGCGCGCGTTATGGAAGTTCGGTGTTGCTGATGACTTCCCCGTGAAGGCGAAAAGGGAATCGGCGTGAACCTCGCCTGTCATCTCTGCCTGTCGCTCAAAAGATATTGAGCACATGCTCTTGAAGATTTCACCCCACATATCATTGTATGTGCTACGTGAAACTTACACGTGAATTTGTGCAGCACTTGCCCCAACCGCCTATGTGGACTATGCGGGTAAACTTTGTCCCTGTATTGTATTGGTGCTCGCCAGCGTCAACTTGCCCCCGAAAGCTGACGGCCGGCTATGATGTGTGTGCGTGTGTGCGCGCTACAAACCTGGCGACCCGAGTTCGATTCCCGCTCACGGCCAACACCGGTGACGATTGCCTGAACCGGTCCTGGGCCTTCCCCTAGCTCGACTCAGCCTCAAACGAGAGTACCCGGTGCGGTGTGTAGTAGACATCGCCACTGGGGAGACAAAGGCGGCCGGGCGTGGTGCTGGCCACCCACTCCCTCGTGCGCCGTGCCGGCCTTCATAGGCGCTCGCTAACAGCACTTGCCCCAACAGTCTGTTCAGGCTATACGGGGGACCTTTGTCTGTATGTACCGTATGTGTGCGTACGCACGCTCGCGCGCACGGTGATCGGCGGCGTAGCGATGAAGCGCACTTATTTTGTCGACGAAACTCGCCGACCCGAGTTCGATTTCCGCTCACGGCCAATATCGTGGCCTCCCCTGAGTCAACTCAGCCTCACGTGAGTAGCCTGGGTTGCGGTGGGTTGCATTGCAGCGCCGGTGAAACAAAAAGGATGGTCACTTCGTGTGTGAGGGTGTCGGCCTTAATCGACGTTCAAGAACAGCAACTTGTCCAAAAAAACTGTTAAGGCTCTACGGGGGGAAGGGGGGAGCGGTCGTCTTTGTATGTGTGACCCCCCCCCCCTCAAAGCTACTGTAAGCGTGTTAAATATTTTAGATCCCACAAACTCCACGCGGAGCGCTCGGGGTCAGGGTGAAGCCATTAGCGATGGGGTGGGTTCGGGTTGAGGTCCTGCCTGAGCGGGTGTTCCCCTTCGCGCGTGGGGAGGGGAGGGAGGGGTGGAGGGAGGGAAGGAGGGCGGGAGGGAGGGGAGGGGAGGGAGGAGAGGGAGGGAGGGAGGGAGGGAAGGATGGGCGGGGAGGGAAGGGAGGGAGGGAGGGAAGGAGGGAGGGAGAGGAGGAGGGAGGGAAGGAGGGCGGGGGAGGAAGGGAGGGGAGGGAGGAGAGGGAGGGGAGGGAGGGAAGGAGGGCGGGGAGGGAGGGGAGGGAGGGAGGGAGGGCGGGGGAGGGAGGGAGGGGGAGGGGAGGGAGGGCGGGGAGGGAGAGGAGGAGGGAGGGAATGAGGAAGGGGAGGGAGTGAGGGAGGGGAGGGAGGGGAGGGAAGGAGGGCTGGGAGGGGAGGGAGGGGAGGTTATCATCCAGTGCCAGGAGAGGTGAAACAACGCTAGCTCCAGTTGTCACTTTACCAGCAACAGCAGCGGCGCTCCGCTCAAAGACAAAGATCCCCCGTGAAGACTTCAGCGGACTGTGGGGGCAAGCGCTGTCCGCGAGGATCTCTGAAGACCCGGCACGGCACACGACCCGGGTTGGGTGGCCAGCACCACGCCCGACCGCCTTTCTTTCTACCCAGTGGCGACGTTTACACTAAACTGAGGCTGAGTCTACCTGTGGGAGGCCCAGACCCGGTTCAGATAATCGTCATTGGTGTTCGCTATGAACGGGAATGAAATTCGGGTCGCCGGGTTCGTAGCGCAGCGCAGCGCGCTACCCATTGCACCACAGCATTCCCCAACACTCACTCACACACAGAAGACAAAGGTCCCCCGTATAGCCTTTAACAGGCTGGTGGGGGACTCATGCCCGTACATCGGTGGCGTAACATTATCAGCTTCGGTCAGGTGTGGCCCCGATATTTGATTTGTCTCGCGCGGTCGCACCTCGCCTGTTATATATCGCGGCAACCTCTTGCTGAACCTTCATGAAACAAAAAAAAGTGTAAACTGCCTTTTAAAGAAGTTTTTGTTTCTCATTACACTGCTGTTGAACAACACCCCAACTCGGAGCTTTAGCCACGAGGGGGGGTCCAAGCCCCCCCCCCCCCCTGCTCACACGCTCGTTACACTGCTGCCACACGTATGCACCCAAAGACAAAGATCCCCCGTGTAGCCTTAACAGACTGTAGGGGCAAGTGCTGTTAGCGAGTAGCGCCTATGAAGGCCGGCACGGCACACGAGGGGGTGGGTGGCCAGCTACCACGCCGGGCCGCCTTTGTCTCCCGAGTGGCGATGTCTACACACCGCACCAGGTTACTCATGTTGAGGCTGAGTCGACCTAGGGGAGGCCCACGACCGGTATGCACGTGCGTGTTTGTTGAACTTCTTTCTCGCCGTACGTAGAGCCAACCGCTCTGCTCCGCGGGGAGGGGCCTTTATCCGGCTGTGTATTGACAACCGGGCCGTACGTGTGGTTGAGTGGAGGACAGAAACACGGCTCTTAGTGGTTGTTGTTGTTGGCGTTGTTGTTGTTGTGGTTGTTCCATCAGTTTAACACTCGTAGCGGTAAATTTTGATTTAAAGCTTTCGTGACTGCAGTAATTCATATTCTTAGCTCTTTCGGTAAAGTCACGTTGAAGGGAAACAATAAAATAATAAAATATATATTTTATATATATTATATATTTTATCAACGTGACTTTACCGAAAGAGCTAAGATTATTCGTAGAGGTCTTGGACTGTGCGAGATTGAAAACCGGAAGGGCGGGAGAAACCCCCACCCCCTCCTCCACCCCCCGCACCCCCTCCTCCACCCCCCGCACCCCCTCCTCCACCCCCTCCTCCACCCCCTCCTCTACCCCCCCACCCCCTCCTCCACCCCCCGCACCCCCTCCTCCACCCCCGCACCCCCTCCTCCACCCCCTCCTCTACCCCCTCCTCCACCCCCCGCACCCCCTCCTCCACCCCCTCCTCTACCCCCCCACCCCCTCTTCCACCCCCTCTCCACCCCCCCACCCCCTCCTCCACCCCCTCCCCCCATCCCCTCCTCTACCCTCTCCCTCCTCCACCCCCTCCCCCCATCCCCTCCTCTACCCTCTCCCTCCTCCACCCCCGCCCCCTCCCCCACCTCGATCGTCCCCACACCTCGAGGCAGGGAGTGGCCCCAGAGCAAGCCTCGCTGTGGGGCGCGGGTCCAGGGCGCACACCGCGGTCATCCCGTTGTTGTTGTTATTGTTGTTGTTATTGTTGTTGTTATTGTTGTTTATTGTTGTTGTTATTGTTGTTGTTTATTATTGTTGTTATTGTTGTTGTTTGTTTATTATTGTTGTTGTTTATTGTTGTTGTTTATTGTTGTTGTTTATTGTTGTTGTTTGTTTATTGTTGTTTATTGTTGTTGTTTATTGTTGTTATTGTTGTTGTTGTTGTTTATTGTTGTTGTTGTTTATTGTTGTTGTTTGTTGTTTATTGTTGTTGTTGTTTATTATTGTTGTTGTTTGTTTATTATTGTTGTTTATTGTTGTTGTTTGTTTATTGTTGTTGTTGTTTGTTGTTATTGTTGTTATTGTTGTTGTTTGTTTATTGTTGTTGTTGTTTATTGTTGTTGTTTATTGTTGTTGTTTGTTGTTTATTGTTGTTGTTTATTGTTGTTGTTTGTTGATTGTTGTTGTTTATTGTTGTTGTTTGTTGATTGTTGTTGTTTATTGTTGTTGTTTATTGTTGTTGTTTATTGTTGTTGTTTGTTGTTTATTGTTGTTGTTTATTATTGTTGTTATTGTTGTTGTTTGTTTATTATTGTTGTTTATTGTTGTTGTTGTTTATTGTTGTTGTTTATTGTTGTTG